ATGCACGCAGGGTATCCGTGCTCTCCTGCCACTCGATGTCGCGAAGAAGCCCCGGCTCTGTCCCGGTAACAGTGCAGCAGAGGAGACACCGAGGATATCTGCGTCCCGCTGCGCCTTGCTGTGACACACGCCCGAGAGACACTGGGGAATATTCCGCGTCCGCTTACGCAGAAGACGCCGGATATCCGTCTGCATACTTAAGCCAGACAGCAGGGATTTCGGCTCCTGTGGTCGATCAGGGTTGAGAGTCAGCGTATCGAGTCAGGCACACATTTGATGCGAGGACGGGTCGCATTGCAACTCTATTAGAGTCTCCTGTCTCCCCTGCCCCACTCTGCCTTGCCTGGCCTGCCCTCCCTAGCCTGCCTCCCCTGCCCTGGACTGTCTTCTCGTCCCTGTCTCTCTGCCTTCTTCTGTGCTTCTCTGCCTCCCTGAAAAAAATCGTTCATAAATCGCTGAATAAAAAAAGTATGAAAAGTGGTCTTTTACACTGCGTTGCGCCGCTCCCTTAATCGCAACCGCAATCGCGCTAGTTCTCCCACCTGCCATCATCACACCTGCGTCTCCAATTTCTAAGTCACCAGCCCCACACACCCGCCTACACCCATCTCTGGCACCAACCCTTCCTCTCGCTTCTGCGCCGCAGACCGGCGCGACTTGCGGAGACGGTTGGAACACACTGTACCGGTTGTCAAAAACCCGGCTTCAACGGCTTTCCTAGCTTTCGTTGCCTACTACACTTGATGGCCTGCCTAAAAACAATTCGCGTTCGAACACGATGATTCAATTGTTGGCGCGCGCTGGCGCTAGCTGTGTGCCAAGCGCATTGCAAGCGCATTGCGCCGCTCGCAACGCGATGGAAAACCTGCTCGTAAGGATATTCAACATGCTGAATGCGGACGCGATCAAGCCGACATCGTTATTAGGGATCGCGTGCGCAATACGCTGCCGATTGATGACCGGACACACCGCGCGCGACCGCACCGTATTTATCGATCGCAAAGCGCGCTCCAGCGTTAGAAAATCGCCACAGTGTGTCCTAGGCTTTACTGTGGCGTGTGCAGTGCATCGCCCAGCTTGCGCCGTTGACTTTCTTGAACTGTTGTGTACAGCGGTCCGCGTTCATTGAAGAACGGCACGTGAGAAAAATGCTCCGATATGCGGGGTGTTTAGAACTGCCCGATAAAATGCGTGTTTTCCCATCGTTGCCAACGCGTGTTGGATCACGCGCACGTGTGCGAATTGGTCCCGGCTGCCGGTATTTAATCCTGTCGCCGTCTGCAAATTTTCACGTCTTATATCTTCCCGTGAACGGAAATATTGCTACAAGCCTAGGCACACACTAGGCGCATTTCTGTTACCGCTGCCCGGCAGCGTATCTATGTTCGCTCACGAATTTTAGAACGCCAGTACGGAGTCGTGGACGTGACACTGCTACGGTTGCTCCAACACTTCCTACGGCTTTCAACGGCTACGTTTGCTACACTTGATTGGCCGCCTAAAAACAACTGCGCGTTCGAACACGATATTCCATTGCTGGCCGCTAGCTGGTAGGCCAAACGCATTGCAAGCGCGATGCCGCTATACGCAAGCGATGTCAAATCGCGGCGCGTAAATATTCAACATGTTCAATGCCGATGGCGATCAAGCAGGCGTATGGGATCCCTGAGTGCGAAAATACGCTGCCGTGAGCAAGACGGACACACTCCCTACGCGCGGACCGGCACCTCGTATTTATAGCGCATCGCAAGCGGCCAGCGTAGAAAAATCGCACAGAGTGGCCTAGGTTAAGTTTGTAACTTTGTATGCAGGCCAATTTTGCAATTCACAGGTGAGGATTGGTGGCTTGCCGAAAACGCCCTTGGTTATCACCTGCATCACGTTGTTGTTATAAAAATATAACCCAAATTACGTCTTACTCGTCAATAAATTTTTCAAGTCTGTGCTTACGAAGCATTACTTAACAGATATAAGCTATTTTTAAGAAATGCACGCGCGCGCCATTTTTTGAATTCATAAGATGCCGCTTGGCCGAAAACGCTCCTTCGGATCACAGGCATCACTGTGTTCGTATGAAATAGTTTACCCAAATTACGTTTGTCAGGTCAATCTTTCAACGTCTGTACGAAGATTATTAACCGAGATTATAGCTATTTTTTTAAGAAAGACGGCGCGCAATTCTTGAATTCAACGATGGCGGCCGCCTCGAAACGCCCCTTTGGATCACATGCAATCACGTTTGTTGTATGAAATAGTAACCCCAAATCTACGTCTGTCAGTCAATTTTCAAGTCTGTACGCAAAATTATTAACCGAGATGAGGTATTAGCTGATGTTTTTAAGGAAATGACGGCGGCCATTTTGAAATTCAATTTGCATGGCGTGCCCAAAGTTGTAATGGATTCGCTCTGTCGCCTTGTTGTCCTGTCTCTTAAATGAAATGAGCATACAAAAAGTATGCCATATGTGTACCAATTTTCATACTTTTTTCACATTCTGAACGATTTTTTTCTAATCTACTGCCTACTATCTCTGCTTCTCTCCCCCCCTCTCTCTCTCTCCCTCTCTCTCTCTCTCTCTCTCTCTCTCTCTCTCTCTCTCTCTGCTTCTCTGCCTCTCTGCGTTACATTCCGC